CGGTGCCAGGAGGCTTAACTTCAGCAGCCCCTCTGGCTACCGAAATACCATCGCCTCCTCTCCAGCCGGCACCAGCCAAGGCAAAGGAACCTTCAGAAGGGCCATGCCTAGCCAGCTGAGGACAGTTCCAAGGACATGTTGCATTTCTGCAATTATGGTGGTTTCTTCCTGGCTTGGGTTTACCCGCCACGTGTTGTGAAACTGCTGTTCATCTTCCAGCCAGCCCTCCTCACAGGCCCATCTCATGGTATAGTGTAGATCCTGTCCCTCCAAATTTTGTGTCCACCCGAAACCTAAGAATGTGACCTAATTTGGAAATCACGTCTTTGCAAATATAATTAGTGTATTCATCCATTTTCATACTGCTATGAAGAAATACCTAAGACTGGGTAGTTTATAAAGAAAAAGAGGTTTAATGAACTCACAGTTCCACATGGCTGGGGAGGCCTCATAATCATGGCAGAAGGCAAAGGAGAAGCAAAGTCATGTCTTACATCGCAGCGGGTAAGAGGTCATGTGCAGGGGAACGGCCCTTTATAAAACCATCAGATCTCATGAGATCTATTCACTATCACGAGAACAGTGGGGAAAAACCTGCCCCCATGATTCAATTACCTCCCACCAGGCCCCTCCCATGAATTATCTTGAGGCCGGGTGCAGTGGCTCACGCCTGTAATCCCAGCAATTTGGGGAGGCCAGGCAGGCGGATCACCTGAGGTCAGGAGTTTGAGACCAGCCTGGCCAACATGGTGTAACCCCATCTCTACCAAAAATATAAAAAATTAGCCAGGTGTGGTGGCGAATGCCTATAATCCCAGCTACTCGGGAGGCTGAGGCAGGAGAAACACTCGAACCCAGGAGGCGGAGGTTGCAGTGAGCCGAGATCGTGCCCTGCACTCCAGGCTGGGCGACAGAGCGAGGCTCCATCTCAAAAAAAAATAAAAAAGAATCTTGAGATACCATCCTGAATTAGGGTGGACTCTAAAGCCAATGGCAGGTGTCCTTAGAAGAGAAGGGAAGGAAGAAGACGGGAAGACAGGAGAAGGCCATGTGAAGACGGAGGCAGAGGTTGGAGTGATGTGGCTGCAAGCCGGCAGGAGCTGGCGGAGGCAAGGGAGGATTCTCCCCTGCAGCCTTTGGGAGGTGTGGGGCCCTGCCGACCCCCCGACTTAGGACTTCTGGCCTCCAGAACGGACAGAATACATTTCTGTTGTTTCAAGCCACTCTTGACGAAGTATTATGGTGGCCCCAGAAACGAATACAAATGAACTCCAGTATTCTGTTTCACGCTGGCTTGGTGGATAGAATCTTGTTCTGTTTTTTGTTTGTTTTTGAGACACTGTCTCACTCTGTTGCCCAGGCTGGATTGCAGTGGCACGATCTCGGCTCACTGCAACCTCTGCCTCCTGGGTTCAAGTGATTCTCCTGCCTCAGCCTCCCAAGTAGCTGGGATTACAGGCGGGCGTCACCACACCTGGCTAACTTTTTTGTATTTTTAGTAGAGATGGGGTTTCACCAGGCTGGTCTCGAACTCCTGACCTCGAATGACCCACCCACCCGCCTCGGCCTCCCAAAGTGCTGGGATTATAGGCATGAGCCACTGTGCCCAGCCTTGCTCTGTTTTTTAAATGCTTGTTTCTCATATTGGCTGTTTTAAATTCCTTTTTGCAAACGTGTGCGTGAGAGCCTCACTCAGGATTGTCAGCTGTAGAAGCCTTGCCACACATAGGAGCCTCGTCTGCCTCACATCACCGGACGTTTCTGCAGCTGCCTCTGGTTCACGGCTCCCACCCTGCCTGAGTCAGCTCCCCTGGAGGCTGCTCTGGCCTGGGCTTCTCTGGTGGGTGTCAAAGCCAGCCGTGGAGGGCGAGAGGATGGTGTTATGACTGCAGCTTGAGAATGTGCATCTCACTCATCCCTCAGGGTGGTCCAGGGCCACCAGCCCGCCATGCGTAGCTGCTCCTTTGTTGGTGAACAGTACGAATCCCACCGTCCCCCAAAGGGAACTTTCTGCCCAACATCTGCTTCTCAATAGCAAGAAACCCAATGGTAAAGGGTTTTTGGTTTTTTTTAGAAATATAGTCTTGCTATGTTGCCCAAGTTTGAGTACAGTGGCATGACCATAGCTCACTGCAGTCTTGAACTCCTGGGCTCAGCCTCCTGAGTAGCTGGGACTACAGGCTCTAGCCCCTGCCTCCATGTAGGGCTTTTGAGATGTTAATTTGATAGCTTTCAACAGGGCAAGGGTCCACTAGGAAGAGCAATATGAGCTGGGGCCCAAAAGCATTGGTTTGGACCGAAACCCCTGTAGCACATGTGCCCATGAGGCGGTCAGTGGTGACGGTGATGGGGTCCAGAGAGAAGCAACCCTGGCTGACGGGTTCTGAGACTCACCACAGGGGACACCAACACCAGACACTCCACACAGGGTCTCTCATTTAATCTGCACTGCAAGACCCCGAGCCCAGGGCTCTCTGTCATGTCACTTTACAGATGAAAAAAGCAAGGCTCAGAGAGGTTAAACAACACAGCCTTGGTCACACAGCAATTGGCAGAGCCAGGATCCAAGCACGGGCACACTGGCTGGGAGTCTGTAGCCTTTAAACCATGTGATGGCTGAGAACCTGTGTCATGCTGGGTTCAGCTACGTATTAACTCACAAATGCTTTGGGTTGTTCCTGCTCACAGGGAAGGAACCAGCTTAACCCTGTTTGAATAGTTCCTGAATTGTCATGAGAGGTTCTGAGAGTATGGTATTTTATTGCTATTCTCAGAGTATTCTCATTTTGTCAATGAGAAAATTCGGAGGGAGAGAGGGTATTGTACTAAATGTCTGGGAGGCCAGGTGAGCCATGGATTAAGGATCCAGACCCACGGCTGTTTGGAGTCTAGACTGTTGGTCAGCCCACCAGGCCACACACATTCTCAATTCCCAATTCCTAGTGCTGGCCTGGGTGCGGGCTGATTTTGTGTGTCAACTTGGAGGGTGTTTTGGAGAAATTAACACTTAGATTCATGAACTCTGAGGAATCGGATTGCCCTTTATAATGTGGGTGGGCCTCACTCAATCTGTTGAAGGCCTGACTAGAACAAAAGTTAACCTTCCCTGAGCAAGAGGGGACTCTCCAGCAGACGGCCTTGGCCCTCCTCTGCATTGCTGGCTCTCGGGGGTCTCTAGGCTGCCAGTCCACACTGTTGATTTGGACTTGCCAGCCCCAACAATCACATGGGCCCGTTCCTTACAGTGAATCTCTCTACACACGTCCTGTAGAACCGTGACTGACAGTGGTTGAGTATCCCTCCAGAAGTCTACATTTCTCCTGTGAGAAAAATGGAACTCTCAACTTAAGAGGAAGCTACACGGGGCGCGGTGGCTCACGCCTGTAATCCCAGCACTTTGGGAGGCCGAGTTGGGCGGATCATGAGGTCAGGAGTTCTAGACTAGCCTGGCCAATGTGGTGAAACCCTGTCTCTACTAAAAACACAAAAATTAGCCAGGAGTGGTGACATGTGTCTGTAATCCCAGCTGCTCGGGAGGCTGAGGCAGGAGAATCGCTTGAACCTGGTAGGTGGAGGTTACAGTGAGCTACGATCGAGCCACTGCACTCCAGCCTGGGCAACAGAGTGAGACTCTGTCTCAAAAAAAAAGAGGAAGCTACCTGTCTCAGGTAATCCCTTCAAACACCGTCAGGCATATGTTGCATCCCCATTTTACAGAGAGGAAAATGGAGGCCGAGGTCGGTGAAGTGCAAAGACCCACGGCAATGTATCGCTTAAGACAGAATTAAGCCCCTCTTCTAGCTCGAAAGTGCATGGCTTTCCACTCTCACCTCCCACACCCCCTTTCGCAGCATCCCACACACTCCAGCAGCCCACCTTGGGGGAGAAGCCAACAGTCACTTGGCTCGCTGGCCTAAGGTCCCCTGCCACCATCAAGGACAACTCCCTTGTCAGCCTTCCACCCACCCGCTTGGTTTAAGGTCTAATGCTAATATTAGGTGCTGCCTGGCCTCTAAAACTGGAAGGGCCTTGAATGACTTAACTGCAAGCTCCCCTCCCCACTCTCCTTCCACGGATAAGGTCCCCACAGCCAGGCCTTATCATGGCCCCAGACACATCTCCTGTTTATCCCCGAGCAGCGGGCTTCACTCCCTGACCAGCCCAGGAGTTAGTCACATGAGCCATCGCATCTCCTGTGGGAACCAGGGGAACCCCGTCCTCTTGTTACTGCAAAGCCCGCTGCCCACCACCCCTGCTGTTCACCCTGCCCTCGAGTGCTGCCCCGTGTGGCCCTGCCTGGCCTGCAGTGCTCCTCCTCCCAAGCTGTGAGTGATGCAACTAGCACACAGCTGTGCACCTCAGGTGTCCTGTGTTGGGTGCTAGGTTTGACCATCCTGAAACCCCAGTGTGGGAATCCCTCCCTCACCAACAGGGTGGAAAGGAGGCGATCAAAATGCACCTCTGGTGCAGGGGCCGTGGAGAGAGGGCCGCTGCTAGAGGGCGGGCAGGCCACCTGGCCAGCCAGGCAATGTGGCAGAGCAGTGGCCCAGCGACATCAAGGATTAGGGGACAGGCCACGTCTAAGACGGCCTTGAATGTCGAGGATTCTGTAGAAATCAAAAGGACAAACACTCAAATGCCTCTGGTGTCGACAACCCGCAGACACGTCAGTCCTGGAGGAATGGTTGGGCTCTGGATGGGATAGTCACGGGAACAGCTGCCTGTCTGATGAGGAGCCACCAGGGAACTCACAGCAGTTTCCAACAGCAGAGCCCCACGGAGCAGGGACAAGAGACCTGGGCCTGGGAAGGAGACCCGGACAGGGCTCTTCGGGGCAAGCAGGAGAGAAGGATTAACAATACCGCCCCCTAGTGGCGGCCGCAAGTGCCCGGCCTGTTAGGAACCCGAGTTCTTTGCTTTGGGGGTGGCTGCAGTCACAAGGCATTTACTCCTTCCTGTAACTGTCACGTGAAAGCAGAATGACGCCAGCGTGGGGGGTGACTTTTCTCCAACACTCAGCCCCTTGGGTTGTGGAATATGGACGCTCGTCATGAAATGGCTGAGCTCAAAGTATTCCATTCCCCTTCAAATTTTCCAGACTTCGCAATTCCCCCGTGGGGGGTTCCCTACGCTGAGGGCCTGGAGTCTCCTGAGCTTTGGAAATTGCATGTGCCCGGCTCACCTGCAGAGGCCGACTCGGGATCTGAACAAAGGCCAGGCTTGAGGTGATGTTCTTTTGTTTTGCTTTTGAGCTTAGCCAGCTCCACAGACTCGGGGTGGGCGGCGGGGGCCGGAGGAGACCAGGAGGAAGTCGCGGGAAGAGAAGAGCTGGAGCAGGAGGGGCTGACGCCAGCCCTCACTTCATCCCAAACTCGCATTTCTCCACAGACCCGCCAAGGGCTCCGACCAGGAACAGAGAGACCAGTGATTTCAAAGAAATAACCTGTGATGACACTTGAAATGGCTTTTATAGATAATATTCTATGACAGAAGGAGACATCAGGTTGTTCTGGGTATTAGGAAAACAGGGGCTGGCTGGGCGCAGTGGCTCACGCCTGTAATCCCAGCACTTTGGGAGGCCAAGGCGGGTGGATCACAAGGTCAGGAGTTCAAGACCAGTCTGGCCAACATGGTGAAACCCCGTCTCTACTAAAAATACAAAAATTAGCTGGGCGCGGTGGCAGGCAACTGTAATCCCAGCTACTTGGGAGGCTGAGGCAGAAGAATCGCCTGAACTCGGAGGGCAGAGGTTGCAGTAAGCCGAGATCAAGCCACTGCACTCCAGCCTGGGTAACAGAGCAAGACTCCGTCTCAAAAAAAAAGAAAAATCCCAGCACTTGGGAGGCTGAGGTAGGTGATCACTTGAAGCCAGGAGTTCAAAACCAGCCTGGGTAACATAGTGAGACCCCAGGAGTGAGATCTACAAAAGAAAAAATTTTAAAATGAGCATGGTGGCACATGGCTATAGTCCCAGATACTCGGGAGGCTGAGGCAGGAGGATTGTTTGACCCTGGAGGCTGCAGTGAGCCGAGATGGTACCACTGCACTTCAGCCTGGGCAACAGTGAACCCCTATCTCAAAAAAAAAAAAAAGAAAGAAAAAAAGAAAAAAGGACCAGTCTATTACCCAGTCCATATAATCATTGCTACAAATTTGTTAGACTCTTTTAAAGGGGCAACACCTGTTGCTTCACGCCATCTCTCAGAGCTGAAACTTGAGGGAAAACAGCCCTCTACAGGGGGCCCACATCAGTGGAAATATTTTCCTCTCCATGCTGACCTTGTCTGCACTAAGGCAGGACATAAGGTACAGGCCAGTGGAAGAAAGCACCCTCCACAACCACCACCTCTCGCAACTGAGAGGTTAAAACCACCACAGAATTTGCTAAAAGCAGAACATGGAAGGTAACAGCTAGATGTCACGTAGCTCTGCCTTCGATCTGGGACAGAAGATCTCTGACCAGAGACGGAGGGCCACCCAACCGCATCCCCAGAGGCTGCACACAAGCAGGCATGGGGTCGACTCCCGAGGCGAGGATAACAGGGAGGCCGGGTGATGGACAGGGCAACTCCAGCCAATCTGGGGATTCATGCCAAGTGGGGAAGCAATAGGGGACCCCAAAACACCCAGGCTGCCCAGAGAACACACCGGTTACCCTAGATGACAAGGATATCCTGCTCCTAGAAAAATCTATAACACCCCATCCAATCACTTTCCCTTCTCTCTTGTGTTGCCTCTTGACCTTCTCAATTCGGCCCTCCTCACTCCAGGCTGCAACCCAGCCTCCAACCCAGCTCTCCCAGGGCACCTCACCGTTCTGTTTTCCCTGTATTTACTTATGTTGGTCTCCCTGAGCCAGGAGGTAGGCCACATGACGGTGGTGGCTTTTGTCTGGTTTGTTCCTGAGGTGTGTACCAAAGGATATTTGATAGACATTTCTCGAATGAATGAATGAATGAATGAACGAACGAACGAACAAAGGCATGGCCATGCACATACTGCTTTCACCATCCTCTCCCACCCGTGTCTGCTCAACAATGCTCCACTCCGGGTCTGGCCACCAGGGGCGGAAGCCGGCGTCTAAGGCCACTCTGTTCCCAAGACCAGACAGGGACACGGATCACTTAGAGGAGGTAGGGCGGAGAGATGGGGCCTTCAGGCCTAGGAGGCACAACTGCTGAGTGGATTCAGTGGGGACAGTGACCCCCAGTGGCCACTGAGAATTTGTGCACGAAAACAAGTGTCTGTTACTTCCGCATGCCAGGGAAGGGAAGTGCGATCTGGCTCAACTTCCAGTCGCCTTATTTCAGTTTCTCGTTTCTGCTTGGGTGACTCCCCTGCCTTTTCTCTTACCCCTCTCCCCGACCAAAGCAAGCAAATCCAAGGTTTTCTAGCTGTAGAGATTTTTCTGGTGAAGAAACAGGCACAGACTCATGAAGTAATTTGTTCATGGTCTGTCTGTCCTACACATACACCCAAGGTTGAACTGTAGCCAAATAACCAGGGAAGCTGCAGGAGTCCTGGGAGACCCCAGGCCAGGGAAGAAGGGGCTGGAGCAGCTCATCCTCCACCTCCTCCCTCTCCCTACTTGATGTTTCCAGAGCCAGGGACTCAGACCTATGTTAAGTGAACGCTGACAACTATTTAGGTAACAAGGGCCAAGGGCATCGTTACACAGATGTGCTTTCAGCAAAGACGACGGAAGTGGATGTAAGGGAGGAAATTGGAGTAAACAAGGACCCCAGGAGACTTTCTCCCCTGCCCCGTGGCACATCCTCCTGCCTCTCCCTGCTGGAGGACCCTGGCCCTGCGGGCACCTGCCAAGGATGGCTGGGCCCGTTATCCACGATCACCCGAGGCCACCGTACGTGCCTCTGCATGAAATGGAGGCCTCACCCTCTGCTGCCCACACCGCGCCTCCAGCTTTCTTCCTTCAAACGCCCGACCTATCGTCACAGTCCCAGATTCCAGGGAACGCAGGTCAAATTCTCCCAAGCAGTCTCCCCAAGCCTGAGCCTGATTTTCTTCTAGGCACCCCCAGCAGCAGGAACTAATATTCAACAGTAGTGTTACTGGAGACATCTGGAAACACTGCTCAAAACAGAAACAAAGACCCCTCCAAGTACAGATCCAGAACGGTGGGAAGCATCTTCAACACAGCACCCACTGTCAGGCGGAACCCTGCCCAGCCTTCAGGCTGGGCTCCCTTTGCAAAGGCTTTCCCAGTGCACTGCCCAGATGGTCGCAGGCAGTTTTACACTATGACACTGAGGTGACTTCACTTGGTCTTTTATTGCCAATTTTGATTTATATTTAAGGATGATGGCTGAGAACAGGCGGGCCATCATTCCAATAAATGCGCACTTCAGGCTGAAGGCGCACCCTGCCCCCAACCCGAACCCCCACTATCAATGCATAAGAAACAGATTTGTAAAACCTAATATTGTTCTTTTCTTTTTTTTTCAGACAGTCTCAAAAAAGGCTGGAGTGCACTGGTGCCATCTCAGCGCACTGCAACCTGTGCCTCCCGGGTTCAAGCGATTCTCGTGCCTCAGTCTCCCCAGTAGCTGGGATTACAAGTGCATGCCACCGCGTCTGGCTAAGTTTTCTATTTTTAGTAGAGACGGGGTTCCACCATGTTGGCCAGTCTGGTCTCGAACTCCTGACCTCAAGTGATCCGTGTACCTTGGCCTCCCAAAGTGCAAGGATTACAGGCGTGAGCCACCGCGCCCAGCAAACCTAACACTGTTCCTCCCCAGGTGTGGCCAGGAAGCGGGCTGCTCACTAAGGACAGGGGACCCATGGTCACTCATCTGTCTGCACAAGATCAACAACTGCACATCCCACCTCACAGCAGCTGCATGACACTGAAAGCTATCTCTTTTCAGAAGAGCTGACAGCACCTCCTACATACTCTCCTTCAGTCCAGCGGCCCCAGTAAAGGAGGATGTCAATCAGTGACGGGGCAGAGGTCAGGTGTGGGAGACCAGCCTGACTTAACATGATGAAACCCCGTCTCTACTAAAAATACAAAATTTAGCCGGGCGTGGTGGCGTGCACCTGTAATCCCAGCTACTCGAGAGGCTGAGGCAGGAGAATCACTTGAACCCGGGAGGTGGAGGTTGCAGTGAGCCGAGATGGCACCACTGCACTCCAGCCTGGGTGTCTCAAAAAATTAAAATAAAATGCTTTCAGTGGAAATGCATTTAACCAGAACAGACCGTATCCAGGGAAAGTTTTTTCCCTTAAATTTCTCAACCTTGGCTGTGCATCAGAATTACTCCCGGAGCTTTAAGAAATCCTAATGTTCAGACCATGCCCCAGACCTATGAGGCCAGATCCTCCGGAGCGGGAACCCAGGCACTGGTATGTCAACTCTTGGGTGGTTTCAATATGCAGCTACAGTTGAGAACCACCCGTCAAAACAGATACCATTTGACCAGGCGTGGTGTCTCACGCCTGTAATCCCAACACTTTGGGAGGCTGGGGAGGGAGGATTACTTGAGCCCCAGGAGTTTGAGACCAGCCTGGGCAACATGACAAGAGCCCCATCCCTAGAAAAAAGGTTTGAAAAATTAGCCGTGTGCAGTTGTGTGCACCTGTGGTCTCAGGAGGCTGAAGCAGGAGAATCTCTTAAGCCCAGGAGATCAAGGCTGCAGTGAGCCACGTTCAGGCCACTGCATGCCAGCCTGGGCGACAGAGCAAGACAGCATCTCCAAAAACAAACAAACAGATATCATTTGACATTTTAATACCTTTTCATCTTGAATGTGAGCCACACCTGCATCACAAGTATACATGTGTTCCCCTTTCCATTCTCTACAGTGTAAATTATCTCTAGGTTACCACCTTCCATCTAAAACGGAGGCAGACTCTCTGGTTTACTAGGCTGTGGATTAAGCAATAAAGTGATACTTCTTTCCAACTAATTTCTTTGTCGCTGGTGACCTACGTTAAAAAGGTGCCTCCTCGCCAGGCGCAGTGACTCATGCCTGTAATCCCAGCACTTTGGGAGGCCAAGGGGGGCGGATCACCTGAGGTCAGGAGTTCGAGACCAGCCTGACCAATATGATGAAACCCCGTCTCTACTAAAAATACAAAAGTTAGCCAGGTGTGGTGGCATGCACCTGTAGTCTCAGCTACTCAGGTGGCTGAGGCAGGAGAATTGCTTAAACCCGGGAGGCAGAGGTTGCAGTGAGCCAAGATCGCACCACTGCGCTCCAGCCTGGGCAACAAGAGCAAAACTCTGTCTCAAAAAAAAAAAAAAACAAAAACCAAAAGTGCCTCCTCAAGTCCTCAGCGCAATTTCCATCAGATTGAACTGCAGGTACTGAACTCTCTGGCCAGCTTCAGACTGTGAAGATGGCCCTGAGGTTAGTGCCTTCCTATGTCACAGCAACAGCATCGCACATTAGGAAATTCAACTGTGACAACATCTCTCAAGGGGAGGTAGCAACACTAGCTTCTAGAGGCCTCAACCCTCTCATCCAGGCAGCCAGGGGTCTCCTGAGCTAAGACAAGACTCCAATGTATGTGACTGCCACCTTCGGTCGACAGCATCACTTTGTACATTGAGCCCACAACTCTCATGCTTACTTCTAACAAAGAGAACACATGATCATCCCGGCCTAGAGAAAGCAAAGGCAGACATAAATTGCTAAGTAAAGATACTTTGGTCCGGGTACAGTGGCTCATACCTGTAATCCCAGCACTTTGTGAGGCTAAGGTGAGAGGATCGCTTGAGCCCAGGAGTTCGAGACCAGCCTGGTCAACATGACAAAACCCTGTCTCCCCTAAAAATAGGCCAGGTGCAGTAGCTCACACTTGTAATCCCAGCACTTTGGGAGACCAAGGCAGGCAGATCACCGGAGGTCAGGAGTTAAGATACCAGCCTGGCCAACATGGCAAAACCCCATCTCTACTAAAAATACAAAAATTAGCTGGATATGGTGGCGCACGCCTGTAATCCTAGCTACTTGAGAGGCAGAGGCAGGAGAAACGTTTGAACCCAGGAGGCGGAGGTTATAGCGAGCCGAGATCATGCCACTGCATTCCAGCCTGGAAGACAGAGCGAGACTGCATCTCAAAAAATAAAAAAGAAAAAAATATACATATATAATATGTGTATGTGTTTGTGTACATATATATATATGATATATATATATCGTGTGTGTGTGTGTGTGTGTGTGTGTGTGAAATTAGCACGGCATGGTGGCACATGCCTGTGGTCCCAGCTACTCAGGAAACTGAGGTTGAAGGATCGCCTGAGCCCAGGAGGTCGAGGCTACAGTGAGCCGAGACAGCGTCACTGCACTCCAGCATGGGCAACAGAGCAAGACCCTGTCTCAAAAAACAAAAAAGATACTTTTTTTGCTTTGAAAAACCAATCTAAAAAACTAACCTATTTAGATACCAAATTGTATATGAAATAAAATCTCAACTCTCTCTTTAGAATAAATAGATCCACAAAAATGCTAAGGAAATATACTACAACATTAACGAGGGTTACTTCTGGTGGGAAGATGGTGGGTGATTCCCATCTTTTTCACTTCACTTCGTTACTAATAGAATAAGCACCGTTACCTTTAAAATCAGAAAACAAACACAACTACCTTCCAAAGTTTAATCAATAAACTCCTTAGAAGTGAAATCTAACAATCACTTCAAATACTCTAAAATTCAACAGAGTAAAATCTCGAATTACTTTCTCCTCTTCCTAATTCTTATTTAAAAGGAGTCCCTTGGCCGGGCGCGGTGGCTCAAGCCTGTAATCCCAGCACTTTGGGAGGCCGAGGCGGGTGGATCACGAGGTCAGGAGATCGAGACTATCCTGGCTAACATGGTGAAACCCCGTCTCTACTAAAAATACAAAAAATTAGCCGGGCGTGGTGGCGGGCGCCTGTAGTCTCAGCTACTTGGGAGGCTGAGGCGGGAGAATGGCGTGAACCCGGGAGGTGGAGCTTGCAGTGAGCCAAGATCACACTACTGCACTCCAGCCTGGGAGACACAGCGAGACTCCATCTCAAAAAAAATAAAAAATAAAAATAAAAAAAAAATAAAAAAAAAGGAGTCCCTCCATGAAGTGTGTGCGCTTTCACGAGGATGCCAGGGGGGACTCACTGATTTTCACACAGGATAACGGTGAACCGCTCCAGTTTCAGAAACTCATCAAAAAGAGGATTTACAATGTTAAGATGTTCATGTCCCCAAGTTAAAAATGGATACTGAATACAACGGCACCCATATTTCTGGAGAAAAATCAGTACACGTGTCACTTCTGTTACAGAAATCCATTTACAGTGTCTGTCCCACTCCACGGAAGCCCTGGTCTCAGGCACCTCCAGCTTCACCGTCTCCCTGCACACACCGGGGGCCTGGTAAGTGTCAAGCAGAAGCCGGGGTCCCATCAAGGGTCCAGACTCTCCGTGCCTCCTTTGTTTTCATCGAGTCTGGGCCGCTTTAGCTCTGGGGGACTGCCCTGAGCATCTCCAGGCGTCTCTGCAACATTAACAAACATAAGGTTGGCAAGTAAATGAAGAATTCTGGAAGTCAAGGGCTGACATTTACAGAATACAGAGCCAAGACATGGAACTGAGCTGCCTGGCAAGATCCTATACTGATATAAGGGAAGGGTCTATAGAGTGGTTCTCAACCAGGGGTGATTTTGCCTCTCAAGGGACAGTGGGCAATGCCTAGTGGCATTTTAGAATGTCATGGGCAAGCCGGGCATGGTGGCTCACGCCTGTAATCCCAGCACTTTGGGAGGCTGAGGCGGGTGGATCATTTGAGGTCAGGAGTTGAAGACCAGCCTGGCCAATATGGTGAAACTCTGTCTCTACTACAAATACAAAAATTACCCAGGTGTGGTGGTGCATGCCTGTAGTCCCAGCTACTCGGGAGGCCAAGGCAGGAGAATTGCTTGAACCCGGGAGGTGGAGGTTGCAGTGAGCCGAAATCGTGTCACTGCATTCCAGCCTGGGCAACAGAGCGAGACTCCATCTCAAAAAAAAAGGAAAAAAAAAAAAAAAAAAAAGAATGTCATGGCCAAGAAGTAGCACCCAGGGATGCTGCTAAACATCCTGTAATACACAGGACAGTCCCCTACAACTGAGAATTACCTGGCCCAAAAGGTCAATAGCCATCAGGTGGAGACACTTGAGCTAAACGATCTCCTACTGAACCCACTCCATGGCTCACCAGGATGCTCTCACTGGCCAGGTGCCTCCCTGCTGAGGGGTCAACACGCAGCCAGTGGGTTTAAACAATGGTTCCAATAAGGTGCATCCTTGCTGTCTCAGAACTGACTTAAAATTAGATGGCATTAATTTCCAAAAGAACAAAAGAAAAGATATTGCACCTTTAATTATATTAAACCAGTAACAATATTACGTACCTGACTGAATTTCTTCTGTAGAAGGGGTGGAAATCACACTGGTTGGTACAGAATTTGGTGGAGTGTCTGTCTTTAAGGGTGTTAAGTTTATTCTCCTTCATTTAAAAAAAAAAAAAAGTAGAGGGGTGCATGGTTCATTAGTATCACAGGAATTATTTATGTACCATACCAACCTTCAAAACTACCAAAGGAAATACTTAGATTTTCAGCTGAACATATGGTTCAAGGCATTAAATAGTAAGATGTGACCACTTGTTTAACAACTGAGGGTTACATTCATGTATTAAGTTAAACCATCACATTTATAATAGTCAACTTAAACCATAACCAGTCATGTAAAAGTTTCAAAACCTGTGTTCTGTTCATTATCCATGGTTTTGTGACCACTCTGCTGGCTGCTGTAAAAGGCAGTCAGATATGGCTTCTACACATAGAAAGTGCCAAAACACAGATAATACTTTTTAAAAATCCACAGTGTTGGGCTGGGCGAGGTGGCTCATGCTTGTAATCCCAGCAGTTTGGGAGGCCGAGGCGGGCAGATCACTTGAGCTCAGGAGTTTTTGACCAGCCTGACCAACATGGCGAAACCCCATCTCTACTAAAAATACAAAAAGTCAGCCAGGCATGGTGGCACATACCTGTAATCCCAGCTACCTGAGAGGCTGAGGTAGGACAATCACTTGAACCCAGAAGGCGGAGGTTGCAGTGAGCAGAGAGCGTGCCATCGCACTCCAGCCTGGGCAACAGAGCGAGACCCTGTCTCACATGAATAAATAAATAAATAAAAACCCAGAGTCTTAATTTTCAACAACTATTCTTGTTTGTAGAAGATTACACCTTCAAGAAGCTTGGTAAATAATTCAGAAGAAATCAAGAGGGGGAAAATAATTTAATACCAAAAATAGTTCAAGGAATACCTTCCGTCACATAAAAACAAATAGAAAAATTGTAAAATACGTTGCTAATCTGCAGAAAGAAATGAGAGATTTTAAGAGGGCAGTAAAGCCAGCAACCCACACACATATTATGAACTTGCCAAAGAAGACCTGTGGCCACAGGAGAGGCTGAGAGGCACAGGGCGCTCTGTCCAGCTCGGCGTCCCCACCACTCCCCTCTGCATGCCACTCCCCAGCCCTCCTCCTGACTCAGTTTATGGGCAGGCTGGGAGGCAGAGGGCCTGGTGGAGAAGGAACTACACAGGATCAGAGGAGTAACTGGATATCAGCCGCAGGGAAGGATGGAAACGGGAGGCTGTGCTGCCTGACGGCGAGGGATGTGCTAAGCGGCTCTGTCCAGTAGGAGTGGCAGACACAGGCGTGCGTGCCAGACACAGACGTAAGCAGGGAAGAAATGACTCTGCACCTCCCTGGGGATTATTTATGAGATCAGGACCCCCGTTTCTCACGGACCAGACTGCTGGAGACATCAAACGGAGTCTCAGGAAGACACTCCTGGAATTGCCTACATCCTGGGCAGGACAGCATAAATAAAACACAGGCTCTGCTTCCTGTCCTTGGGGGCTCATAACCAGCAGGGAAACTGAAGCATCAAAGCACCTGCTACAGAATCTGATGTGTGGTGACAAGGGAAAGGCTGAAGGGCCACAGAGCCTGCGAACAGAGAGGCTACATTCACATGGGTCTTTCAGAAGACTCCTGGCGTCACCAAGAGGAAGAGAGGTACAGGGTTTCCCCAGAGAAGGGAAGGACTGAAGCCTCAAAGGGCAGAGTGTGCTCTGGGAAGATGACATTCAGGACTGGGCTAGAGATGAAGGCCACGGACTCAGGAGAGAGAGTGGCCACAGTCCTGGATGACAGGCTGCAGCCAAATCACAAGCCTGGGCTTTATCTGACAGGCAGGAACTGAAGGAACAAACAGGCCTATATGCAAGAAATGACACTCTCGGATTTGAAGTTAAGAATCTCTCTGGCAACCTACTGGCATGAAGTATTCGCCGCCTGGAATTTCACCTGCGGCAGGGTGGGAGCGTTCTGTTTGCATTTCACGTTTCATTTTGCAATGACAACTTGTTCCAACAAGGTCTTACCGGGGCGTTGTCTTGCTCCAGGCTTGCAGTGTGTTCAGAGTGACCCTCCGGGATGGGTGGCCTTTTGTGTTTTGACTACTGGGCTGCAGGGTCTTCTCCTCTGAAGGCCCCGGCAAGGGGCTTTTGACAGCAGGAGTGATGGAGGGAGGGTCTCTGATGGCTGTTGGGGCTGGGGCCTGTCTGGCTTGAGGAGGGGTTGTGCCGGGGCTGCTGGGGTCTTGGCTTCTGCTGGCAGGGGCTCCCTCTACTGGTCTGGGTCCTGGCGAAGACCCTCGATGTGTCTGACTCTTGGTTTTCTTTGCTGTATCAGGAGTTCTCATGCTCAAAACTGGCTTCTCTTTCAAAGGAATTCCAAGTTCATCTTTCTCAAATGTCACAAACGAGCAGTAACCGTCCGTGGAAGAAATGGCCAAGAAGGCGCCATCGCTGGACCTTCATCCCCAAAATAGGGAAAAGTTACAGACCTTACCAACACTCTCACATCTAGTTAGAAGAGGGAAGTTCAAGCAAAATCACAAGCTTGTCTGAAGGCAAAGACCAGGGAAAAGATACGACTGGAAAAGAGTGTGTGATAGCAACTCACTCATGCAGTTTCATCACGATTTGCTAAGTCACTGCAACCTATCTGTGCTACTAGCAACTTGCACTTGAATAGGCCGGGCACAGTGGCTCACACCTGTAATCCCAGCACTTTGGGAGGCCAAGGCAGGTGGATCATTTGAGGTCAGGAGTTTAAGACCAGCCTGGCCAACCTGGTGAAACCCTGTCTCTACTACAAATACAAAGAAATTAGCCAGGCATGGTGGCAGGCGCCTATAATCCCACCTACTCGGGAGGCTGAGGCAGGAGAATCGCTTGAACCCAGGAAGCAGAGGTTGTAGTGAGCTGAGACTGTGCCACTGCACTCCAGCCTGGGTGACAGACTGAGACTCCATTTCAAAAAAAAAACTCACACTGAGCCAAGCAAGCCGTGGGGGCTGAATTGGGGACCCAAAGGTGGTGGAAGGGCAGGGGTGAGTGACATTCTCTAGACAGGCCCAGCTCGGGGCACTTCCCTGTCCTGGGCAGCAGGGACATGCAGGGGAGGGCTTCTTCCCAGAGGGCCTCAGGAATCCCCAGATGGCCAGGGAGTCTACAGGGCCTCCGCTCAGTTTATCAGAGTCCAGTTAACCCCACAAGGCAATCTGAATGCCATCAAAACCCACCAGTGTGAAAATAGGAAGCAAGTATTATGGCAAACTAGAAATGGCTTTTCCTTTTAATGTTGATTCCTTTAAAAAATAAAATTGGGCCAGGGGCAGTAGCTCATGCCTGTAATCCCAGCACTTTGGGAGGCTGAGGCAGGAGGATCGCTTGAGCCCAGGAGCTTGAGACCAGCCTGGCCGACGTGGCGAAGCCCCATCTCTACTAAACCACAAGAATTAGCCAGGCGTAGTGGTGCACACCTGTAATCCCAGCTACTTGGGAAGCTGAGGCATGAAAATCACTTGAACCTGGGAGGTGGAGGTTGCAGTGAAACGAGATCACACCACTGCACTCCAGCCTGGGCGCCAAGAGTGATACTTGGTCTCAAAAAAGCAAATAAGAAACAAAATTGGTGAATATGTCCCCCAAAGCCATCTTTAGTAACGAAATGCTCCCTAACCCCAGGGTCTCTTCCAGGGTATGGCCATGGGCTCCTTCACTCACTCTCCCTCCTTAGCAGCCACTCACCATGAAATGTCACTGAGCGTGTGGTAATGTATATTAGACACGTAACCGAAAGGGAAGGACTGCTGGGTGTCATACAGAAGCACGGAGTCCTCCGAGGCCACAGCAAACACGAGGCGGTAGGGCAGAGTCATCAGCTCCACACCTGGGGGTCGGGGACAGAGACAAAGTAAAACCACAGAAACAAGGCTTCTGACCGGGCGCAATGGCTCACGCCTAGAATCCCAGCACTTTGGGAGGCCGAGCTGGGTGGATCACTTGAGCTCAGGAGTTTGAGACCAGCCTAAGCAACATGGCAAAACCCCGTCTCTATCAAAAATACAAAAGTTAGCCAGGCATGCGGGTGTGTGCCTGTAGTCCCAACTACTCAGGAGGCTGAGACAGGAGAATCGCTTGAACCCAGGAGGCGGAGGTTGCAGTGAGCTGAGATTGTGCCACTGCACTCCAGCCTTGGCGGCAGAGGAAGACTCTATCTCAAATAAAAAAAAGAGAATATTTATAGGAATAAAATACATCCAGCATCCACTAAGGTCAAATTCAGTGTCTGGTATCTAATCAAAAAGTACCAGGCAAACAAAGAAACAGGGAGATATGACCCACAAGGAGGAGAAAAAAAATCAAAACCAACCTGTATACAAGGACATTAAAAGAGCTATTGTAACTGTATTCTATAGGCTTAAGAAGCAAGAGGAAACTGAGGTGGGCAGATCACCTGAGGTCAGGAGTTCGAAACCAGCCTGGCCAACATGGCAAAACCTTATCTCTACCAAAAATAAAAACATTAGCTGGGTGTGGTGGCACACACCTGTAATCCCAGCTACTCGGGAGGCTGAGGTGGGAGATTCACTTGAACCTGGGAGGTGGAGGCTGCAGTGAGCCGAGATTATACCACTGCACTCCAGCCTGGGCAACAGAGAAAGACTCCTTCTCAAAAAAAAAAAAAAAAAAAAAAAGAAAGCAGCAAGAGGAAAGATGGAGCGTGGAGAGGCACAAATATATAAGGAAGACCCAAAGTGAACCTCTAGAGATGAGAACCACAACAACGAAAAACACGCCAGATGGGACCAAGGGCAGGGCATGCAGAAGAAAGGGTTAGCAAACTCAAAACACAGCTATACAGACTTCCAAAATCAAACACTGGAAGAAGAAAAAAACAAAAAAAGTAAGCAGTATCAAAGGCCAGGAATGAATTTCAAAGGACCTAATATAACACATGTGCAATGGGGAGTATTTGAATAAGAGAAGGGGATGACAGAAATAATATTTGAAGGAAAAATGGCTGAAACTCCCAAATGTAATAAAAACTATAAACTGATAGGTCTATGAAGTTCAGTGAACCCCAAGCACAAGAAAACATAAAGAAAATGGCTGGGCGTGGTGGCTCACACCTATAATCCCAGTACTTTGGGAGACTGAGGTGGGTGGATCACCTGAGGTCAGGAGTTCGAGACCAGCCTGGCCAACATGGCAAAACCCCGTCTCTACTAAAAATACAAAAATTAGCTGGGTGTGGTGGCGTGTGCGTATAATCCCAGCTACTCTGGAGGACAGGTTGGGAGGCAGAGGTTGCAATGAGCTGAGATTGCACCACTGCACTCCAGCCTGGGCGACAGAGCAAGATTCCATCTCAAAAAAAAAAAAAAAGAGAAAAGAAAAGTGATAATGAGAGACATAGACAAACAAAAGGAGTACGGCTATTCCTTTTAAAGTGCCTTAAGAAAATAAATCCTGAAAAAAGAAAAAAAAAAAAAACTGACATGTATTTTGATAACCTCAGTCTTTGCTCCAGCTTTTAAGAATAACTAAACCGGGCCAGGCACGGGGGCTCACACCTGTAATCCCAGCACTTTGGGAGGCCGAGGCAGGTGGATCACTTGAGTCCAGGAGCTCAAGACCAGCCTTGGTAACATGCTGAAACTCTGTCGCTACCAAAAATACAAAAATTAACCAGTCTCATAACCTGGTCTCAAAATAAATAAATAAATAGATTTAAATGTAAAAATAAAATATTTTAAAAATAACTGAACTGAACCAAACCCACATACACACCTTTCCCTGTAAGACAGAATCCGAATCTCCACCCCACTCTGGTGACCCGTTTCGGAGAGAAAACATAATGCACCCTGAGGCACTGAGGATACCTGTTTCCACCACTGGCCTCAGTTCAAAGTAGACCGGACAGCAGCGAACAGCAAGAGTGGCTTTTCCAGGACATGGAAGATGAGCGATGGGCCTAATGGATTAATTGCAGTGTTAGGAAAAGGCACTGTGACTCAGCGAAAGCAAAAATAAAAGGTAAACATTTCGGCAGGGCACGGTGGCTCACGCCTATAATCCCAGCACTTTGGGAGGAGGAGGCAGGCAGATCACCTGAGGTCAGGAGTTTGAGACCAGCCTGACCAACATGACAAAACCCCATCTCTACTAAAAAAAAATACAGGCCGGGTGCAGTGACTCATGCTTGTATTCCCAGCACTTTGAGAGGCTGAGGCAAGCGAATCACTTGAGGTCAGGAGTTTGAAACCAGCCTGGCCAACATGGTGAAACTTCATCTCTACTAAAAACAGAAAAATTAGCTGGGGGTGGTGGCGGGCACCTGTAGTCCCAGCTACTCGGGAGGCTGAGGCAGGAGAACCACTTGAACCCGGGAGGCAGAGGTTGCAGCGAGCAGAGATCGCACCATTGCACTCCAGCATGTGCAACAAGAGCAAAACTCCGACTAAAATAAAGGTAAATATTTCAAACATTTCCTTGACTGCATACCTTTTAAGATTCTTCCTGGAGAAAACATAAGTGGTATTCATTACATTTTCACCAGATTCCACACATCCAGCTGGGGAGCAGGGAAGGGAGGGAGAGGAAAGAAAAGTCACTGTTTCAGCAAACTGTTCTGTTCTGTTCACCAACGGAAACTCAAGAGCCTTCAGTTCCGGTTTGCAAAATAGCTCCCCCTGAAGTTATATTCTCTAGACAATGTTGTGACTGAGCACAAAAACAAATATTCCAGCACTGTCTGGTCTCGGCCTTTACTCCAGTTCTACCTACTTGTCATCTCCACCTACCTGTGGGCAGTCCCTGGGGACCCGGTTCTGATCTTGGGCCGGGAGAACATAGTGAGCCTTTGCCACAGGGCACCTTTGAGCCTCCAGGCAATTCCTCGATTGATGCACCGTGACTAGATTCAGCTGCCCAGGCTCCTTTCTCCCTAAGACCCTCATCTCTATTCCCTGGATTCCAGCCTTGGATGCTATCCAAAGGCTGAGACTAGCCTTTCCCCAACTTCCCTATCCAGCCATGAGGCTGCCAGGAGACCTTGCCCTCTGCTGAAACCTCCAGCCTCCTTCAGAACCTGACTTTGCTCTGGGGAACAGTCTCCATCTGAGAGCTCTTCTCCACTCACCCCGTGCTGTACTTAAAACAGTTCAGGCCTGTCAGAGTGACCATCATACACTGCTGCTCTTACACTAACATCTCCCTGTTTTATGTTATTTCTTGATACATATACACACACATAACTTTACATATGACCGTTTCATATCTACCAGGGAGGGCAGTAGACAGTATCAATAGTCTTTTTTTTTTTTTAATTAATACATTCTACATAGCTGCCCTCTTTTCTTTTGAGACAGAGTCTTGCTCTGTCACCCAGGCAAGACTGGGTTTTGGCTCACTGCAACCTCCACCTCCAGGGTTCAAGCAATTCTCCTGCCTCAGCCTCCTGACTAGCTGGGATTACAGGCGCCTGCCACGATGTCCGGCTAATTTTTGTATTTTTAGTAGAGATGGGGCTTCACCATGTCGGCCAGAGGGATCTCAAACTCCTGACCTCAAGTGATCTGCCCTTCTCGGCCTCCCAAAGTTCTGGGATTACAGGCATGAGCCACTGCACCCAGGCCCCTCTTTTCATCCCACTCCATTCTTCCATCCCCAAGAAATCCATTTTAACATTCAACAAACCATTATGTCATCTGTATATTTCCCCCATGCTCACAAAATCATTACAATCAGTTATAACTCAATCACATATATACCTCTATGATTTTTTTTTTTTTGAGACAGAGTCTAGCTCTGTCGCCCAGGCTGGATTGCAGTGGCACGATCTCGGCTCACTGCAAGCTCCGCCTCCCAGGTTCACGCCATTCTTCTGCCTCAGCCTCCCGAGTAGCTGGGACTACAGGCGCCCACCACCACACCTGGCGAATCTTTTTGTATTTTTAGTAGAGATGGGATTTCACCGTGTTTGCCAGGATGGTCTCGATCTCCTGAACTCATGATCCACCCACCTTGGCCTCCCAAAGTGCTGGGATTACAGGTGTGAGCCACCGCGCCTGGCGGAGGATTTTTTTTTATTTAGTCCATTTGTTTTACAAAGCAGGGTATTATTGACACTTCTCCTTATTTTGCTAGTTTCAATCCACTACTCATGAAAATTAACTTGCATAGCACTGATGCATTATTTTTTTGTAGCTGCATAATATTTACTGCAAGATTCATTCACCCAACCTCTGTTAATGAGTATTTATTTGCTTTTGGTTTTTTACCACTATAAACAATGCTTGCAATAAGCATACTTGAACATACACTTTTTTTTTTTTTTTTTTTTTTTTTTTGAGACAGAGTCTCACTCTGTTGCCCAGGCTGGAGTGCATTGGCGTGATCTTGGCTCACTGCAACCTCTGCCTCCTGGGTTGGAGCAATTCTCCTGCCTCAGCCTCCTGAGTAGCTGGGACTACAGGTGTGCATCACCACGCCTGGCTAATTTTTGTATTTTTAGTAGAGACAGGGTTTTGCCATGTTGGCCAGGCTGGTCTTGAACTCCAGACCTCAGGTGATTCACCCACCTTGGCCTACCAGAGTGCTGGGATCACAGGCTTGAGCCACCACGCCCGGCCAGTTTCCAGTCTTAATTGGGTCTTCTCCATTCGTAGAATGTCCTTCTATATTTCCTTATAAGAGTTTTCTATTTTTACCTTTTGTGTTTAAGTACTGAATTCACCTGGAATTTATTTTTTATATCTAGGGAAGGGGTCCAATTTTATCTTCTTCCACATATCTGGCTACCCCAGCACTACTCATTCAATAACAGAGTCCTCCCTTTGCAAGATCCATCTCTTGTACAACATGGTGATTATGGTTCATAACAATGTACTATATTCCTGAAAAATGCTAAGAGAGTAGATATAAAGTGTTCAAACCACAGAAATCCTAATTATGTGAGATCATGCTATGCTAATTAGCTAGATTTAGTCATTCCACAACATATATATACTTCAAAACATGTCATACACAACTACATACAATTTCATCTGTCAATTAAAAAAAAAGAGAGGAGGCTGGGTGTGGTGGCTCATGCCTGTAATCCCAGCACTTTGGGAGGCTGAGGCAGGTGGATCGCCTGAGGTCAGGAGTTCGAGACCACCCTGGCCAACACGGTGAAACCTTGTCTCTACTGAAAATACAAAAATTAGCTGGGCATGGTGGCAGGCGCCTGTAATCCCAGCTACTCGGGAGGCTGAGGCAGAAGAATCGCTTGAACCTGGGAGATGGAGGTTGCAGTGAGCCAAGATCACGCCAATGCACTCAAGCCTGGGCGACAAGGGTGAAACTCTGTCTCAAAAAAAAGAGGAATAGGTCTTTGTCCAATCTCAACACTTCCCAGCCTTCTTAATGACAAATTCTTGTCCTATTTGCCTTCAGTGTCTAATTCTCTTGAGAATTATTTAAGTAACATACAATTAATTACAAATAAATAACAGATTTTTTTTCCACTGGAACAGTACCTGAGGTCATATATTAAATTGCCTTATATCCTGAGATCTTCTTCTGAACTCTGTGTTCTGGTCCACTAATCTATTTGTTTGGTCCTCTAGCAACACCATACTGATTGAATAAAAGTAGTGTTATAGTATCTTCTGACATGTGGCGAGGCAAATGCCCTCCCAACCAAGTATCACTGGGTTTTTTTCATACTTCCTTGGCTATTCTTCAGCATTTATTCTACTAAACAAAGCTGAAATTTCATCCAATTAAAAAAAAAAAAAAACTTTAATGCAATTCTAATTGGAAATGAAATTGGTATGTTAATTGTTAGAACATGATATATCTTTCCATTTGTTCAGAACTTGTTTTATAACCTTCAATAAGACCTTCTAGGCTTCTCCATAAAGGTCCTGCCCCTTCCTTATTAAATTTACTTCTGCCGGGGTGTGGTGGCTCACACCTGTAATCCCAGCTCTTTGGAAGGCTGAGATGGGAAGGCTGCTTGAGCCCAGGAGTTTAAGACCAGCCTGGGCAACACAGCAAGACCCTGTCTCTACAAAAAAATAAGAAAATTAGCCGGGCATGGTGCTACATGCCCATGGTCTCAGCTACTAGGGAGGCTGAGATGGGAGGATTCCCTGAACTCAGGAGATCAGGGCTGCAGTGATGCAGTGGGCCATGATCACACCACCATACTCCAGCCTGGGTGACAGAGTGAGACCCTGTCTCAAAATAAATAAATAAATAAATACATTTACTCCATGTGTTTTGCAGGCTTTGCACTACAATGAATAAAATATTTCTCCTCCTTCCATTTCTAAGTACTCACTGCCAATATAGACGAAAGATCACAGATTTTTATATATTTTACACTATCCAGCCATCTTATCAAATTATTTTAAAAATTCTAATAGTATTTTTTTTTTTTTGAGACGGAGTCTCGCTCTGTCACCCAGGCTGGAGTGCAGTGGCCGGATCTCAGCTCACTGCAAGCTCTGTTCTAATAGTATTTTTTAAATCTCTTGAATTTTCTAGAAACACAATCGTATTACAGATTTTTATCTCTTCTTTTCCGATCTTTGTAATTTCATTTTCCTGTTTTTCCCACACTAACACCACAAAGAATAATAATGTTGATAACAGACATCCACCCTGCTTGATTTTAATTGAAAATATTTTTAGAGTGGCCACTTAGTAAAGGATTTGAAACTGGGGCCGGGCACGGTGGCTCACACACCTGTAACCTGTAATCCCAGCACTTTGGGAAGCCAAGGTGGGCAAATCAACTGAGATAAGGAGTTTGGGACCAGTCTGGCCAACATGGCGAAACCCCGTCTCTACTAAAAACACAAAAATCATCTAGTCATGGTGGCAGGCACCTGTAATCTCAGCTACTCAGGAGGCTGAGGCAGGAGAATCGCTTGAACCCAGGAGGTGGAGGCTACAGTGAGCCAAGATGGTGCCACTGCACTCCAGCTGGGGTGACCAAGCGAGAGATTCCTTTTAAAAAAAAAAAAAAAAGGCCGGGCGCGGTGGCTCAAGCCTGTAATCCCAGCACTTTGGGAGGCCGAGACGGGCGGATCACGAGGTCAGGAGATCGAGACCATCCTGGCTAACACGGTGAAACCCCGTCTCTACTAAAAAAATACAAAAAAACTAGCCGGGCGCGGTGGCGGGCGCCTGTAGTCCCAACTACTCGGGAGGCTGAGGCAGGAGAATGGCGTGAACCCGGGAGGCGGAGCTTGCAGTGAGCCAAGATCACACCACTGCACTCCAGCCTGGGAGACACAGCGAGACTTCGTCTCAAAAAAAAAAAAAAAAAAAAAAAAAAGGCCAGGCGCGGTGGCTCACGCCTGTAATCCCAGCACTTTGGGAGGCTGAGGCAGGTGGATCATAAGGTCAGCAGTTTGAGACCAGCCTAAGCAACATGGTAAAACCCTGTCTCTACTAAAAACACAAAAAAATTAGTGGGGAGTGGTAGCGCACGCCTGTAATCCCAGCTACTCAGGAGGCTGAAGTAGGAGAATCGCTTGAACCCAGGAGGCGGAGGTTGCAGTGGTGAGCGGAGATCGCACCACTGCACTCCAGCCTGGGCAACAGAGCGAGATTCTGTCTCGAAAGGAAAAATGATTTATTACTGGGTTTAGTGAATAACTTCTAATAAATGTTTAGTAACTAACTTTAGTAAATATAACCTAAACAATTATTCTTGGGCCTGAGACTTCTTGAGCCACAGTGTCGTTCCCACATGTTCTGCAGTGTTCTTTAAAGCCCTACCCACACAGCTGCATGTGTGATTCACACCCTTCTCAGGCACTCCCTGGCTCAGCTGGGATGGGACTCAGTGGCAAAGCTGGCCGGTGCCCTCCCGTTTGGCCCAACCCTGGGCTCTGTTGTCATCTTTGTGCACAGGATGGTCCTGGAGCCATGGCAATGAGCAGACATTCTCCTCTGAGAACACTGTGGCCACAACACTGCCTAGCCTTACTTGCTGGGCTGAGCTCCTTTCCTTCCTAGGGACAATAAACCTATCTTGTCCTTGCTACTTGGCTGACCTTTTGATTTTGACCAGTGCTGCTTTACAAGTTTGTCCATGTGTCTAATGCTGTCACAAATGCGCTTCTTTATTGAGGAGAATAAAAACAATAAAGGAGCTTTATTTTTGGCTTTAGCACTATGACTTCCATATACATGTTAATGAATGGAAAAGCATTCATTAAAAGGTTTACATAGTAAAGTTTATTTTATTTTATTTTATTTTTTTGAGATAAGTTATCACTCTGTTTCCCAGGATGGAGTACCGTGGTGCGACCTCAGCTCATTGCACTGTCCGCCTCCCGGGTTCAAGCGATTCTCCTGCCTCAGTCTCCCAAGTAGCTGGGATTACAGGTATGAGCCACCAAACCCAGTTAATTTTTGTATTTTTAGTAGAGAGGGGGTTTCACCAAGTTGGCCAGGCTGGTCATGAACTCTTGACCTCAAGTGATCCACCCACCTCAGCCTCCCAAAGTGCTGGGATTAGAGGTGTGAACCACTATGCCCGGCCAAAAGTTAAATTTATCTAAGAGAAAATGCCTATCATTTTAATCTCATAACTCCCAAAGTTTTCTGCACGTTAGAATCACTTGGAAATCTTTTTAAAATTCCAAAAGCCACGCCACCCAGACCAATTACACTATAATCTCTGGCGGTGGGACATAGGAGCCAGCGTTTTTTTTTTAAGCTCTCCTGGAGGTTCCAATGGGCAGGTAAGTCGGGGACCCTCATTCTAACCAGCATTCACTGAACTGATAAGCAGCAGCGTAAAACGGGAGCAGACATCCCCGCTCGGCCCTCATTCCCTTAAGTCCAAAACTACAAAACACACCTGGCGTGAGGAGCAAAGATCCATCGGGAGTGAAACTCAGTCTACGGAAGAAAGACTTCATGCTGTCGTCGTGGAACATCCGGTAGCTTCTTGCCTGTCGCACACAACATTTATTTTTATTATTTTTTTTATTATTTTGTTTTCTTTCTTTTCTACACACAAAGTTTAAACATTTTTCCAAATCTTTACACTCACAATAAAGGCTTCCCAACTGCTGTATGTGCCTATGGTTTTCTTTACATAGTGTCATTTATTGTTGACATAATCATAAATGAAACTGAAACATTACAAATCAGACAATTGTACAATACCGCAAGGGTAAACGTTCATGAAAACTGACCACACGTTTTTGTTAGGTAAAGCTATATGTATATATGTGTGTTTTATGTGTTCTAAAATTATTTTTAAAAACTCTTAAGAACACAAACCACAGGGTCAACAGTGGCATGTCTGGGGCTTGAGACTGGGAGATACTGGGAAGATGACCAGGAGGCGTCTGCTTTCTATCTGTGCGGATTCATTTAGAATTTCCAACTGAACGCACTCTTTAGAGACAGTCTCATTCTGTCACCCAGGCTCAAATGCAGTGGCGCAATCATAGGTCAATGCAACCTAGAACTTCTGGGCTCAAAGCAATCCTCCCTTCTCAGCCTCCTGAGTAGCTAGGACTATAGGCACATGTCACCACATCCAGCTATTAATAAATGCACCCTTTAAAAAAAGAAAATTGTGGATTATTAAACTGGTAACCATTAATCTTTTAAAACAACATTTCTTGAACACCTGTGTGGGACAGTTTTTACTACTATTTATTGACATTTTATAAACATCAAGCATTTGCCAGACATGGTGGCTCACACCTGTAATCCCAGCACTTTGGGAGGCCAAGGCAGGCGGATCACTTGAGTCCAGGAGTTCGAGACCAGCCTGGCCTACATAGCAAAACCCCATCTCTACTAAAATACAAAAATTACCCAAGTGTGGTGGCGCACACCTGTAAGCTACTCGGGAGGCTGAAGCAGGAGAACCGCTTGAACCCAGGAATTGAAGGTTGCAGTGAGCCAAGATCGTGTCACTGCAGTCCAGCCTGGGTGACAGAGCCAGACACTGTCTCAACAAACAAGCATTTAATTCTTAAGACTACAAGGAAGCAGGCATTACTATTCATATATATTGAATTTATATATTCAAATATATGTAATATATATTTATTTATATGTAATATAAAATATGTAAATATATGTAATATATAAATACAAAAATATAAAAAATCATATATAATATATAAAATATATAATATATATTATATAATATACAGAAATATATATTTTATATATACATATTTTTTGAGACAGAGCTTCACTCTTGTTGCCCAGGCTGGAGTGCAATGGCGTAATCTCGGCTCACTGCAAACTCCACCTCCCAGGTTCAGGTGATTCTCCTGTCTTAGCCTCCAGAGTAGCTGGGACTACAGGCATGCGCCACTATGCCCAGCTAATTTCTGTATTTTTAGTAGAGACAGGGTTTCACCATGTCAGCCAGGCTAGTCTCGAACTCCTGACCTCAGGTGATCTGCCCACCTCTGCCTCCCAAAGTGCTGAGATTACAGGTATGAGCCACCACACCTGGCCAGCATTACTATTCTTACTTCACAGGTGTGACCTCTCAGTGCCTGTCAGCGCCCAGCCCACACTGCCTTACCCTGGTTCCTTGGGTGCATTTGCACCTTGTCCCCGTGTGGAGCCAATAACCGTGGAGCCAATAACCAGCTTGCTCGCCTGCACCTCGCTGCCTGCCTCAGTAGCCTTGATTCCTTTAGAAATAGGGTCTTATTTTCATTTGCCAATTCTTTCAAAGTCAAAATCCTTCCTATTCCTAAATACCAGTGTTTTGGCTGGGTCTCTGCTGCCTGCTAGCAAAGCTCTCTACCTACCTGCCAAGACAGTAAACTGCCTGCTGCCAGACAGATCCAACGCTCGACCTGCCTGTCTTCTGTTGCCTCGTGTAGGGATCTTCCCAGACCAGTAGTGACCAGCCCTTGCTACACCTGAGAATCACGGAGGCCCTGCTTAGCTCCAGCCAAGTGAATCACGCCACTGAGGCTGGGACCATGGCATCCATATTTTTATTTTTATTTTATTTTTATTTATTTATTTATTTAGAGACTGAGTTTTGCTCTTGTCACCCAGGCTGGAGTGCAATGGCGCGATCTCAGCTCACTGCAACCTCTACCTCCCAGGTTCAAGCAATTATCCTGCCTCAGCCTCCTGGGTAGCTGGGATTACAGGCATGTGCCCGGCTAATTTTATATTTTTTGTAGAGATGGGGTTTCACCATGTTGGCCAGGTTGGTCCCAAACTCCTGACCTCAGGTGATCTGCCCGCCTCAGCCTCCCAAAGTGCTGGGATTATAGGTGTGAGCCATCATGCCCAGCCTTATTTCATTTTATTTTTGAAATAGAGTCTCGCTCTGTCGCCCAGGCCAGAGTGCAGTGGCATGATCTCGGCTCACTGCTGAGACCTCCACCTCCCAGGTTCAAGTGATTCTCATGCCTCGGCCTCCCTAGTAGCTGGGATTACAGGCCTGCACTACCATACCTGGCTAATTTTTGTAATTCATTGAGATGGGGTTTGGCCATGTTGGCCAGGTTGGTCTCAAACTCCTGACCTCAAGTGATCCACCCGCCTCAGTCTCCCAAAGTGCTGGGATTCCAGTCATGAGCCACCGCACCCGGCCAGCAACCATATTTGTAATTCTTCCCAGGTGATTCCATGGTGCAGCCAGGGTGGAAAATCACTGTCCTATCCTCCATCAGTGGCTCTCCCCTGGGCTCCAGATGTCCCCATTTCCATACAGACTAGCCCACCACAGTAACTGAGCCTTGACTGTCCAAAAGGAAACCTTATTGTAGTTCAGGAATCGGCTCCTTGAGACCAGTGATTTGGCCGCAAGGGTATGGGAGGAGCTCAAGACTTCTTAAGTCTCAGTTAAAGCGCTGCTGAAAAAGAATAGCAAAATATTTTATACCTCTCCTTCAGCACCTATTCCAGACAGCATCTTCGAAACATTAAAAGCCACACGCTTCTTCTGCATACTGTACACTCGCAGCACCCTGAAGAAGGAACATGTCTGATTTACCACTTGTAGTAAATGAATTATGCTTCACACAGAAACAACTTATTACCAACAGCCTATCACCACCTCAGCAACTTTCAGTCTGCAAAAGCCTTTACCCATGATATTCACAACTGGGTAATGAAGAAGGAAGCAAGCATTAACAACCTAAAGGATATCACAGGCTGGGCGCAGCGGCTCACGCCTATAATCCCTACACTTTGGGAGGCAGAGGCGGGTGGATCACTTGAGGTCAGGAGTTTGAGACCAGCCTGGCCAATATGGTGAAACCCCATCTCTACCAAAAATACAAAAAAGTAGCCGGGTGTGGTGGTGGGCGCCTGTAATCCCCGCTACTCGGGAGGCTGAGGCAGGAGAATCACTTGAACCCAGGAGGCAGAGGTTGCAGTGAGCCGAGATCATGCCACTGCACTCCAGCCTGGGCAACAGAGCGAGCCTCTGTCTCAAAAAAAAAAAAAAAAAAAAAAAATTTTGGTAAGTCACATTACTCCCACTAGCTAATCAGATTGTTTTACTGATGACTGTCTGAATAAAACACACTTATCAGAAAATAAATGGTATTTAGAATACAACAGGAAATTCTATGAAAAATAAACACTAACTCCTCCCTACCACTTTTATTACAAGGCCATCTTATATTCAATTTGTTTTAATTAAAAGTAGTTAGATAAATATTCAAAAGGACTATTAAGTAATATAGGAGGCACTCCTCATTTTTAAAATATTTATTCCAACAATACAATTAAATGCAATTATGCCAGTAAACACAGCAACAAGACTTCTTTTCAGAAAGGACAAAAATAGTTTATTTTTATATCGATTTAAATGGAGTCATTAAAATCACTGGGCTTGGCGAGGTGGCTCACGCCTGTAATTCCAGCACTTTGGGAGGCCGAAGCGGGCAGGTCACCCGAGGTCAGGAGTTTCAGACCATCATGGTCAATATGGTGAAACTCTGTCTCTACTAAAAATACAAAAATTAGCCAGGCATGGTGGCACATGCTTGTAATCCAGCTACTCAGGAGGCTGAGGCAGGAGAATCGCTTGAATCTCAGAGGTGGAGGTTACAGTGAGCTGAGATCGCACTCCTGCACTCCAGCCTGAGGGACAGAGTGATACTCTGTCTCAAAAAACAATTAAAAAATAAAAATAAAAATAAAAATCACTGTAGCACACCTGTAATCTTAGCACTTTGGGTGGCCAAGGCAGACAGATGGCTTGAGCTCAACAGTTCAGGAACAGCCTCGGCAACATGGCAAAATCCCATCTTTACAAAAAATACAAAAAGTAGCTGGGTGTGGTGGTGCACAACTGTAGTCCCAGTTACTTGGGGGGCTGAAGTACGAGGATTGCTTGAGCCCAGGAGGTCAAGGCTGCAATAAGCTGTGATTGCGCCACTGCACTCCAGCCTGGGTGACACAGTGAGCCTCTCTCTCAAAAAAAAAATAGTAATAATAATAAAGATTTACTAAGTTCAGGGCCAGGTGTGATGGCTCATGCCTATAATCCCAGCATATTGGCAAAGGCGGGCAGATCATTTGAGGTTAGGGGTTTGAGAACAGCCTGACCAACATGGTGAAACCCTGTCTCTACTAAAAATACAAAAATTAACTGGGCATGGTGGCATGTGCCTGTAATCCCAGCTACTAGGGAAGCTGAGACAGGAGAATCGCTTGAAACCAGGAGGCAGAGGTTGCAGTGAGCTGAGATTATGAGACTCTGCCACAACACCTGCCTGGGTGACAGAGTGAGACTCTGTCTAAAGAAAAAAAAAAAAAAAAAAAAAAAAAGATTTACTAAGTACAAACTTCATGGAAGGCACTTGTCCTAATTAATTTCCAATTTCTGATTATGTTGTAAGAATGAGTATGAAAACAAGAACAAAAGAATCAAAGCTAGACTATGATAAATCTTGGTTAAGTGGCAATAAATACCTCTCTTCAGAAAATTACAAGTAAATACAAAGAAATTCCAAGTAAATGCTAAAGCTAAATTTACCTGTCACAGCTCAGAGTAGCCACATATTGACCCAAAGGGTCCCAGGTTACTCCTTGGACATAACTTTTATGTTCATTAAAAATTGATATCTTTTGTCCTACAAAAAAAACACACATACCGAAACAGCATTATCAAAACCTATTTGAGCCCAAATAGTATAAACTATGACTTAAATATTATTCCCTTTACCATGCATCACTCAGCAGGCAGTAAGTGAGGGACTCCGTACTGAACCCCGTGTCAGGCTCTGGGGCCACAAAGATGACTTCATGCAGTCCCCACCCTCAGGGAGCTCACAGATCAGACAGACCCATCAACAGGCAAGCATCACACACGTGGACCCGGGGAGGGGAGCTGACAGCACAGGGCAGAGGGTCTGAGAAGATCTAAGTTCAGTTCCCCAGGTCAGGCAGGATGAAGAGGAGATGAAGGGTGGAAGAAGGTATCGTCAGGGAATCCCCGGGTTAAGACACCTTAGTGAAGAGAATATGGAGCAGTGAGAGGCAGCTGAGAACTGCTAATGGGCACACAGGAGGGCCAAGAACAGAAGATAAGGAGGAAACGAGAAGTGTTACAGAGACCTTGTGTGTAAGGAAAAGGCTGTGGGCATTCCAGCTGAGGAGTCACCTGCATTTTAAAGGTGAAACAGGTTTAGAAGATGACAAAGAGGGTTGCTAGTTAGGATGTGACAGAGTAGACCAAGAGAGAGATGAGGGCCCTCCTCATCACAGAGCAGACAGTGTGAGCAGGGATGAACAAGGGGCTCTGGGGAAAATATTTAGCACACAGAGATTGCCTGCATAAAAAGACAAGGGAGTTACGAAAAGACAAGGGAGTTATGAAGCTTTGGCGATTCCTTTTTGTTTTTTGTTTTTTTTTTGAAACAGGGTCTGGTTCTGTTTCTCAGGCTGGAGTGCAGTGGTGCCATCAGAGTTCACTGCAGCCTCAACTTCCCAGGCTCAAGAGACTCAGCAGCCCTAGTAGCCGGGACTATAGGCATGTACTACCACATCCAGCTTATTTTTGCATTTTTTTTGGTAGAGAGAGGTTTTTGCCATGTTGCCCATGCTGGTCTTAACTCCTAGGCTTCCACAGTCCTCCCAAAGTGCTGGGATTATAGGTGTGAGCCACTGTGCCTGACAAGTCATTCTTTTTTTTTGAGGTTTTTGGTGAGGTTCAGTAACAACCCATCACACTTATGGTAAAACCTAAAATCCTGGCTCATGCCTGTAATCCCAGCACTTTGGAAGGCTGACGCAGGCAAATCACTTGAAGTCAGGAGTTCAAGACCAGCCTGGCCAACATAGGGAAACCCCATTTCTACTAAAAATACAAAAATTAGCTGGGGTGGGGGGGCGCCTGTAATCCCAGCTACTTTGAGGGCTGAGGCAGAATTGTTGAACCTGGGAGGCGGAGGTTGCAGTGAGCGGAGATCGCACCACTGCACTCCAGCCCGGGCGACTGAAGGAGACTCCATCCCAAAAAAAAAAAAAAAAACATGAAACAAGACAGAATGGAGGATGGAGGATGGCTTGGCTGGACAGCACGGAACTAAAAAGAGCAACAATTTTTATAGGCTGAATGAGAACTGGGCTGACACAGTGCTGCAGGGGCAGCCAATAACAACTCCTTACCCAGGTACTTGAGTTGTAGAATTGGCAGGAAGAGGTTTGGGAGAAAACAAAGTTTGAGTAAAGGATGGCGGGAGATAAAAATGGTTAGGAGTTAGCCACTACTTGCTTTTGGCATTTCACAGCTATTTTTACACCACTATAACTTTTCACATGTCCACTGTCTCCCCAGCTGGAGAACAGAATGTCCCTGGCTTTCCTTGATCTTCTAAAATGGAAACCTGATCCCACCTACTCCATCAACTAGCATGCAATGCCCTATAAATTATAAGTGACTTGTTAATCTTTCCGAGATCCTAACCTCCATAAAGGCAGGGCTCAGGCCTGTCATCTTATCTGCTGGCCCCACCATGTGGGATTTGCCTGGCCTCAGTATCAGTAACTTGCAGCACCACTACTAAGCCTCTTACCCTCTGACAATCCATGGCATATGGGACTAAACCCTATCCTGTTGAGCCAACCACCTGCTCTAGTTCACTAAAACAATTTTTTGTGTTGCTTTTAAAGTTAAAGCAAGTAGGCCGGGTGTGGTGGCTCATGACTGTAATCCCAGCACTTTGGGAGGCCGAGGCAGGTAGATCACCTGAGGTCAGGAGATTGAGACCAGACTGGCCAATGGTGAAACCCCGTCTCTATTAATGATACAAAAATTAGCCGGGCCTGGGGACAGACACCTGTAGTCCCAGCTACTCGGGATGCTGAGGCAGGAGAATTGCTTGAACCCAGGAGGTGGAGGTTTCAGTGAGCCAAGATTGTGCCACTGCACTCCAGCCTGGACAACAAGAGCAAAACTCTGTTTTCAAAAAAACAAAAATAAAAAATAAAGTTAAGGCAAGTTAGGCCCAGGAGCGGTGGGTCATGCCTGTAATCCCAGCACTTTGGGAGGCCGACGTGGGCAGATCACCTGAGGTTAGGAGTTTGAGACCAGCCTGGCCAACATGATGAAACCCTGTCTCTACTAAAAATACAAAAATTAGCTGGGTGTGGTGGTACATGCCTGTAGTCCCAGCTACTTAGGAGACTGAGGCAGGAGGATCGCTTGAACCTAGTAAGTGGAGGTTGCAGTGAACCGAGATCTTACCACTGCACTCCAGCCTGGGCGGCAAAGCGAGACCCTGTCTCAAAAAAAAAAAAAAAAAAGTTAAAGCAAGTTAGGCTTTTAGGCTTTTATAGATGCTTAGAATATTTCTTCCTGCTAATAACAAAAACATATAGTTTACCTTTATTGACATCCCATATGATGGCTGTGTTATCCACAGAGGCAGAAGCCATTAAATTCCCATCAGTTGCCCAGCAAATATCATACACATCTTCTAAGTGGCCCCTAGAATCCAAAAACAAAGAGGAAAAAAGCAATTACTCCCCAGGTATAGCAGCTTACAACTGTAATCCCAGCACTTTGGGAGGCCGAGGTAGGCAGACTGCCTGTGGTCAGGAGTTCAGGGCCAGCCTGGCTAACACGGTAAAACCCCATCTCTACTCCAAATACAAAAATCAGCCAGGTGCGGTGGCTCACGCCTGTAATCCCAGCACTTTGGGAGGCCAAGGCAGACAGATCACGAGGTCAGGAGATCGAGACCATCCTGGCCAACATGGTGAAACTCCATCTCTACTAAAATACAAAAAATTAGCTGGGTGCAGTGGTACACACCTGTAGACACAGCTACTCGGGAGGCTGAGGCAGGGGAATCACTTGAACCTCGGAGGCGGAGATTGCAGTGAGCTGAGATTGTGCCACTACACTCCAGCCTGGCGACAGAGTGAGACTCTGTCTCAAAAAAAAAAAAAAAAAAAAAAAAAAAATTAGCCAAAAAAAAAGCCAGGCATGGTGGCGCACACCTGTAGTAGTCCCTGCTACTTGGGGGCTAAGGCAGGAGAATCCCCTGAAACCAGGAGGTGGAAATTGCAGTGAGCTGAGATCATGCCACTGCACTCCAGCCCACACGACAGAGTGAGACTCCATCTAAAAAACAAAACAAAACAAAAAACAATTATTAACTCAAAAAAGGACAAGTTATCAAAAATATAAGGGCAAGCTCCAGAACTATGCATAAAATGAGATTCCAAAATTTCCACTGGCACTATATTAGCTATAAAAAACTACTTTCAAGGATCACTGTATCTCGCCAGGCGTGGTGGCTCACGCCTGTAATCCCAGCACTTTGGGAGGCTGAGGTGGGTGGATCACCTGAGGTCAGGAGTTTGAGACCAGCCTGAGCAACAAGAGCGAAACTCCATCTTAAAAAAAAAAAAAAGGATAGCTGTATCTTTAAAATTGAATCCTTTTTACTGAGAAAAATTCATAGGAGAAACTAAGAAAATCCATTTTAATTATGCTTTCATCCTTTAAAACTATTGTCTTAGGACTGTTTCACATAAATAAAACTTCTAAATTAGACCAGCCTGGGCAACATAATGAGACCCCGTCTCTACAAAATATGTAAAAATTAGCAGGGTGTGGTGGCATGTGCCTGTAGTCCCAGCTATTTGGGAGGTGAGAGGATCACTTGAGCCCGGGAAGTCAAGGCTGCAGGGTACTGTGATCACAGCACAGCACTCCAGCCTGGGTGACAATGAGACCCTATCTCAAAAGAAACACACCCAAAAAAAGTCAAAATGTATATTCCATTTAATGCGCTCAGAGTAAAGAGAGATCACTGCCAGGGTCCCTCCCAAGTTACCGCAGAGTCTTCACAACTGTCCAGTTCTCCTTGTTCAGCTGGGCCTCGTCCTCATCCTGAAAAGCGATCTGCTCCGGCTCCTTGTTATCATTCACCTTCCACAACAGGATGACGGCATCTGCGGGGCGATTCAATTACAGTGATCCACGCCTCACCCACACTCCTTCATGTCAGGATTTTTATTTATGTATGTATTTATTTTTGAGACGGAGTCTCGCTCTGTCGCCCAGGCTGGAGTGCAGTGGCGCGATCTTGGCTCACTGCAACCTCCGCCTCCCGGGACCATCCTGGATAACTGTCTCTACTAAAAATACAAAAGAATGAGCCGCACATCAGGATTTTTAGGGCATTAAAACAACATTTATGTTGTTCAGTGGACACCATGGCCACGATGATTTACTTCCAAGCATTTCAACAGGGAAAGTAGGTTTGCCTTCTCAGCTAAAACTCCAAAATCAAATTCATAATAGATCAGAGCTATACAAAATCACCTTAAACAGAAGGGTCCTAGGCCAGCAAAATGCCACTGCAAAATGACACTGGCTACATTAACAAAACTGAAGGCATAATCTATAAATAGCCGAACAGAAAAACAAAACAGCAAAGAACCCCTAGTGCAGGGGTTGGCAAATGTTCCTGCTGAGAAACCTTCAGCAAGTCACTGAGCATCTTGATGTCTCAGTTTCCTCACCTGTAAATGGGGACAATAGGCAGGGTGAGGTGGCTCACGCCTGTAATGCCAGCACTTTGGGAGGCTGAGACGGAAGGGTTGTTTTAGCCCAGGAGCTCAAGACCAGCCTGGGCAAGACAGCAAGACCTTGTCTCTACTAAAAACCAAAAACATTAGCCAGGTGTGGCGGCACACACCTGTGGTCCCACTACACAGGAGGCTGAGGTGGGAGGATCACTTGAGTCCGGGAGGTAGAGGCTGCAGTGAGTCCTGATCTTGCCACTGTGCTCTAGCCTGAGTGACAGAGCAAGACCCTGTCTCAAAAATGGGGAAAACAATTTATCTACCTCACAGGCTGTTGTGAGGATTAAATTGGTCAATGTGTATAACACACTTACAACACAACGGCTGGCAAATAGTAAGCCCCATGGAAGTGTCAGCTATTAATCATTATAGACATATCAGGTACTTTAGCCTGAGGTCACCCATTGTCTGAGTCCGATGACTCTCCACATTCTGACTCCACGATTACCACATAACCTTCTGACCATCCCTTGGCTTCCTTTAGAAATGTGCACAGCAGGAGAGTGAATGAATGAGGTTGTGAGGACATGCGCATTCCCATTCCTTTTTTTTTTTTTTGAGATGGAGTTTCACACTTGTTGCCCAGGCTGGAGTGCAATGGCACAATCTCAGCTCACCGCCACCTTCGCCTCCCAGGTTCAAGCGATTCTCCTGTCTCAGCCTCCTGAATAGCTGGGACTACAGGCATGCACCACCACACCCAGCTAATTTTGTATTTTTAGTGGAGACGAGGTTCCTCCATGTTAGTCAGGCTGGTCTCGAACTTCTGACCTCAGGTGATCTGCCCACCTCAGCCTCCCAAAGTGCTGGGATTATAGGCGTGAGCCACCGCACCCAGCCTGCATTCCCATGCTAAGTTAACCGGAATCCTGGTTGCACACATTAGTCTGGGAGCTTGGTTAAGATGCCATTGGCCCTGATGGATGAACACTCTCTGTGTGCTGACAACAGCAGGTTTCTGGGCCTCCAAGGCCAAGGGACTCTGGAAAATGGGGGCTGCCATGTGCAACCTCAGGGCAAACAGCAGGCAGCCACCCCTAGGTGACGCTCCTGCTCCCCACCTTTCCCTCTACAAATCAGCATGCGTGCATGCGTGCACACACACACACACACATACACACACCCCCACCCACCCCCGTCATGTGCTCTGGGCATCATGGCACTGAACTCAACCAGGTCTCTTTTCCTCCTTCTGCAAAAATAAAACTTTAGATTTCTGTTTTATTTTGTAGTAGTTTCTAGATTGTTTCAAAGTATGGTAAAAAGGAAGGTTTACTTTTTGTTTTTTTTTGAGACAGAGTCTCATTCTGTTGCCCAGGCTGGAGTGCAATAATCCTATCTTGGCTCAGTGCAAACTCCACCTCCCAGGTTCCAGCGATTCTCTGCCTCAGCCTCCCGGGTAGCTAAGATTATAGGAGTGCACCACCATGCCCAGCTAATTTTTGTATTTTTAGTACAGACAAGGTCTCACTATATTGGCCAGGCTGGTCTCCAACTCCTGACCCCAGTGATCCACCTGCCTCGGTCTCCCAAAGTGCTGGGATTATAACAAGTGTGAGCGACCGCACCCAGCCTGGTTTACTTTTTCCATATAGTTTTATCCCATTTAAGCACAGGCAGAAAACAAGAATCAATCTATTCCCACCAAACAAGTAAGCACAAATCACAAGACCATTCATTAACGACACTCCCGGTATGCTCCCTCCCCAGCACCCTCCAGCAGCCCGGCACTGCAGACACCAGGACTCCAAAGCAGCATCAGGCACAGCAGGGAATGGGAGAAAACGCATGGATGTCAGACCAGAGGAGCTGCCAAGCTGGGTACCGATGTGGGATCTTACCCCGACGGGCACTGCTGGAGCGTTTCAGAGGCTACTATGGGTATTACAACAAGTATGTCACTGTGGGGAAGGGGAGCATCGCGGGGCTTTCCACAGTGCTGGCAGCTTATGTGCTTTTCAGCTACTAGTTTTCTTACAGGGAGATCAAACACCAGCAGCTACTCAGAGCCCATTGAAGAGGGGCCAGTGGGAGGCATGCTGCGCTTCTGAGCATGGCACCCCTCCATGAGGAACTTGGCCATTGCTGAATTCTTTCATATCCCACTTTAGAATTCATGCCCAAATACCCCAGGCACGGTGGCTCATGCCTGTAATCCTAGCACTTTGGGAGGCCGAGGCAGGCAGATTGCCTGAGCTCAGGAGTTCAAGACCAGCCTGGCCGACATGGCAAAACCCCATCTCTACTAAAAATACAAAAATTAGCCCGGGGTGGTGGCAGGTGCCTGTAATCCCAGCTACTTGGGAGGCTGAGGCAGGAGAATGGCTTGAACCCGGGAGGCGGAGGTTTCAGTAAGCCAAGATCGTGGCACTGCACTCTATCCTGGGTGACAGAGTGAGACTCTCTCAAAAAAAAAAAAAAAAAACCCAAATAAAAGATGACTGGTTTAAAAAAAAAAAAACTCCCAAAGCCAGTTAATTAATAATGCAGTCCTAAAGCCAATTAATTAATTATACAGAGACACTGAACTGACTCTGATCACCACAGATATTAAACTAACAATCAAACAAAACCAGAACAGCCGCCTTACTTGGGATGTGATGGAAAGGTAAGTGCCTCTCCATCTTGTCTCGGAAGAGCCCAGTGGGAGCTAGCAGGAAAGCAGCTGTTTTCAAACAGGTGTTCCCAGTGTCATCTTGCTGTCCTCCCTCTCCGATTCTACCGCACTCCCTAGAACATTATTTTACTGAACTACCTAAATGACAGATTGAGAAGGTCGGCCATATCTGAAATAAAAAGCATATCCAGGCCAGGCCCGGTGGCTCATGCCTGTAATCCCAGCAATTTGGGAGGCCGAGGCAGGTGGATCACCTGAGGTCAGGAGTTCGAGATCAGCCTGGCCAACATGATGAAACCCCATCTCTACTAAAAATAAAAAAAAATAAAAAAAAAAAAAATTAGCCAGGCGTGGTGGCAGGTGCCTATAATCCCAGCTACTCGGGAGGCTGAGGCAGGAGAATCGCCCGAACCCGGGAGGCGGAGGTTGCAGTGAGTCGAGATTGCACCACTGCACTCCAGCCTGGGGAATAAGAGCAACACTCTATCCCACCCCTCCTAAAAAAGCATATTCAGCTCAAATCTCACTATCTGACACGAGACACACAGGTATCTATCTGGTTCCTAAAGAATCTCTGAAGAACAGCAATACTCACCATCTCCTCCCGATGCTAAAATTTCCCCAGTTGGAGAAAAACGCACGACATTGACAGCTTTGGTATGACGAGCAAGATTGGACAAAAATTCCACGATGGCTTTTCCATCTGGTCCCTTTTCTACCTTCCAGATCTGTCAATACCAAAACATTCATTTGAAAAACATAGAATGGGCACATATTATACTGTTTGTATTAAAACAATACTATGGGCTGGGTGTGGTGGCTCACAACTGTAATCCTAGCAGTTTAGGAGGCCAAGGTGGGTAAATCACTTGAGGCCAGGAGTTCAAGACCAGCCTGGAAACATAGTGAGACCTGGTCTCTACAGAAAATTTTAAAAATTAGCCAAGTGTGATGACACATGCCTGTAGTTCCAGTTACCCGGGAGGCTGAGGTGGGAGGATCACTTGAGCCCTGGAGGTCAGGGCTGCAGTGAGCCGAGATCAGGCCACTGCATTCCAGCCTGGGCGACACAGTAAGACCCTGTCTCAAAAAAAAAAAAAAAAAAAAAAAAAAACTATGCTTATTTTCAGAAAGAAATCCCCATCTAAAACATAAATGTCTACTGTTCCCCTCCGCCTTCTTTCTAGAGCAACTTGTTACCCAATAGGAACCAGGATCAGAATCCCAAAACAATGAACGTCCAGTTACAATAATCTAGGGAAAATGAATCAAATAAGAAAGCAGAGCCAGGGCATGGTGGCTCAGGCCTGTAATCCCAGCACTTTGGGAGGCCAAGGTGGGTGGATTACCTGAGGTCAGGAGTTCGAGCCCAGCCTGGCCAACATGGTGAAACCCCATCTCTACTTTATACAAAAATTAGCCGGGTGTGGTAATGAGTGGCTGTAGTACCAGTTACTTGGGAGGCTGAGGCAAGAGAATAGCTTGAACCTGGGAGGCAGAGGTTGCAGTAAGTCGAGATTGCACCACTGCACTCCCGCCTGGGCAACAGAGCGAGACTCCATCTCAAAAAAAAAAAAAAAAGCAGCTCTCTTTTGCTTTCATTGTTCACCGCAGGCCCTGGAAATTTAGCATTCTGGGCTAGATGACAGAGTAGTTTGAATTTGTTGACATATGTTCAATTCATTCATTCATTTACTTAAGAGAAGGGTCTGGCTGTGTCACCCAGGCTAGAGTGCAGTGGAGTGATGGTTGCTCCCTTCAAACTCCAAGGCTCAAGCGATCCTCTCACCTCAACCTCCCAAGTAGCTGGGCCTACAGCTGCACACCGCCACGTCCTGCTACTTTTTCATTTCTGGCTATGTTGCCCAGGCTGGTCTCGAACTCCTGGACTTAAGTGATCCTCTTACCTCAGCCTCCCAAAGCACTGGGATTGCAGGCGTGAGCCACCGCGCCCAGCCGACATCGGTTTTAAATAAAAGAATGAAAACTATTGCTTCAAGCAGTGTTCCCAGATGGCTATCTCTGCCCCAGTTTACCCTGACAGCGGTGTCCACGCCCGCAGACGCTAGTCTGTGGATCCTCCCGGCCGCCCCATGCTGGAAGTCCAGGCTGTACACGGGCTCCTTGTTGTGCCAGGCTATTTCACAAGTGATGACTTTCATCCTCCTGAGTCTTGAAGGGGCAAAACGTTTCTCGGGCACCGTTCTACTTCAAGACGGAGGAAAGCTGCAAAATGCTGGTGATGGATTAAACAACAGTGTTAGCAGCAGCGAAGGGTTACTGAGCGCTGAATAGGGCAGGAGCCATTTAAAATGCACACTGCATTGGGAAAGGATGTTAACGTTGCCATCTGACAAGAACACCTTGCTAGCTCCACCTAAAATGCTTCGCTGGGTCCTGACATCCACAAGTTTATGATACGCCGCTACGTCCAGAAAAGCAAAACCAAACATCCAGGTAGAGGCTACCTAGGGGCCCCGGCCATCTGCACGGCCTGTCCCCGCTTAGTAGGGTCTAGGGGCGCGCCCTGAGAGCCCAGGTAGGGGCCCGCCCCGGGAGGGGCCTCCCGGAAGAGGGGGGCAAACGGGGTAGGGGACCGGGGCGGCGGGGCGAGAGCAGAACCCCGCCTTTCCCAGGGACCGGGCGCTGGGCCCGGGAAGCTGGGACAGAGGCCGCCGGGAGGAGGCCGCGCGGGGCCGGGGGTGGACGGGGCCCCGCCGCCCGAACGCGCGCCCTTCGGAGCTATCCCGGGCCCCAGGCCCTGGGCGAGGGCCTCTGGCCCCAGATCGACCCGACCAAAAGAGCCGCGGAGCCGCCCGGGCCAGCCCCGGGAAGCCGTACCTGCAGGAACCCGGACGGTCAGAGGCGCCGTCACCTCCCGCGCAGCGCGCGCTGCTTCCCGCGCGCCGCAGGCCCCGCCCCCCGCATGGGTGGGACCTCATGGACGCCCCGCCCCTCAAGCGCCTCTCAGGTCCCGCCCGACGTGGGCGGCACCCCAGGGAAGCCCCGCCCCCTCCTGGGCGCCGAGGCGAGTCCCGGTCTGGCCCTGGGGTCGGAATCCGGGCCGGAATTTATTCCCGCCAGACCCACGATTGCAGGAAGAATGGATTCACTATTATTTATTATTATTATCCATTATTTATTCCTTGTTGATTCGTTCTTTTAGCAAACGTTTACAGAGCCTGGGCTGTGTGTTAGACAGACCCTATGCTGGCGCTGTGCACTTGGGAGGGCGAACACGACCGGTTCTCCTGTCCCTTCTGCAAACAAAAACTGAGATCTCTGGGTTTCTATATTGGCTTCTAGAACATTTTGGAGAGTTCAAAGCTATGAAATTCTTCAGTACCTAGCGCAAGATTGCTTACATTTTATTATTATAGTAGACGAAGTTATAAATCCTTTCTTTTTTTTTTTTTTTGAGACGGAGTCTGCTCTGTCGCCCAGGCTGGAGTGCAGTGGCCGGATCTCAGCTCACTGCAAGCTCCACCTCCCGGGTTTACGCCATTCTCCTGCCTCAGCCTCCCGAGTAGCTGGGACTACAGGCGCCCGCCACCTCGCCCGGCTAGTTTTTTGTATTTTTTTTAGTAGAGACGGGGTTTCACCGTGTTAGCCAGGATGGTCTCGATCTCCTGACCTCGTGATCCGCCCGTCTCGGCCTCCCAAAGTGCTGGGATTACAGGCTTGAGCCACCGCGCCCGGCCTTATAAATCCTTTTTAAGAACAGACTCACATTTTAAAGTGAGGCGGTAAATTGATCGGTAGGCACAGATACCGCAGGCCTTTTGAAATGGGACGTTTCCAGATGAGACCTAATTTATCTGTGGGCTTCGCAGAAGGCCAGAAAACAAGTACCTCTGGATGCGCTGCTTTTACTGGATAAAAGAAACACACAGGTTTATCTGAGGAACCAACTGCTCTAGGATTTTTGGAAAAAAAGAACAGACATGGATTCTTATATAAATACTGGCTGATGCTTTTAGCCAGCTTTATGAAAGGTACAGATATTGCCTAAAAATCAGTGTCTCATGTTGATAAGAATGGCTGTATGCTCCTTGAAGCCTGATTTCTACAGGAAGCTAGAATAACATAATCCGAATATGCCATTTTTAGATTTTTTTTCTCTCCATACAGAGTTTGGACTGGGAATGACTATATACTTTAGATAATTTGGCTGTTATGAAAGTACAGACTCCTGGCCCTACCAGCCCCATGATTCCGAACATCCAGCAGAAGCCCCTGCTCCAGGAGCTTGCATTTTCATTCAGTCTGTTTTGGAAAGCTCGGGATTCTTCGTGTCTCTTCAACATCAAATTTCTCCAAATTTCTCATAAATGCTGTTCATTCACAAACGAATAATCTGCCCACCTTTTGAAGTGTCACGACGCTGAACGTGGATTTAAAAGATAAAAACACATGCTTTAAGTACTGAAAGTACACGAAGGAGTTGGCTTTCTTGGTGAACATTTTAGAGATCCAACTTCAGTGCCAACTTGATAAGCCAACACGGGCAGGGGATGCGGCTCCAGAGAGAGGCCCTGGGCTATCTCAAATATTTTCTCAAAAAAAAAAAAGAAAGAGGCCGGGCGCGGTGGCACAAGCCTGTAATCCCAGCACTTTGGGAGGCCGAGACGGGCGGATCACGAGGTCAGGAGATCGAGACCATCCTGGCTAACACGGTGAAACCCCGTCTCTACTAAAAATACAAGAAAATTAGCCGGTCGAGGTGGCAGGCGCCTGTAGTCCCAGCTACTCGGGAGGCTGAGGCAGGAGAATGGCGTGAACCCAGGGGGGCGGAGCTTGCAGTGAGCCGAGATCGCGCCACTGCACTCCAGCCTGGGGCACAGAGCAAGACTACGTCTCAAAAAAAGAAAGAAAGAAAGAAAGAAAGAAGTTATTTGCTCAAAACCTCAAAGTTTGCACCACAAATGTTGGACTAAAGAATTCCTGCCGGGCGCGGTGGCTCACGCCTGTAATCCCAGCACTTTAGGCCAAGGCAGGTGGATCAGGAGGTCAGCAGATCAAGACCATCCTGGCTAACACGGTGAAACCCTGTCTCTACTGAAAATACAAAAAATTAGCCGGGCGTGGTGGCGGGCACCTGTAGTCCCAGCTACTGGGGAGGCTGAGGCAGGAGAATGGTGTGAACCTGGGAGGCAGAGCTTGCAGTGAGCTGAGATGGTGCCCCTGCGCTCCAGCCTGGGCGACAGAGCTAGACTCCATCTCAAAAAAAAAAAAAAGAAAAAGAAAAAGAAAGGAATTCCTCTAACGCAATTCTAACTAGATTCCTCAACAACCACTGGCCTTCAGCTTGGGCCCCAAGCATCCATTTTGGGCAGAACTGCCTCAATTTAAGGGGACCAATGTTATTTGGTTCCTGAGAACTTTTTAATAATGAAAATTGATATAAAAGCACTAACTCTTTTTTTTTTTTTTTTTTTTTTTTGAGACGGAGTCTCGCTCTGTCGCCCAGGCTGGAGTGCAGTGGCGCGATCTCGGCTCACTGCAAGCTCCACCTCCCGGGTTCACGCCATTCTCCCGCCTCAGCCTCCGAGTAGCTGGGACTACAGACGCCCGCCACGACGCCCGGCTAGTTTTTTGTATTTTTAGTAGAGACGGGGTTTCACCATGTTAGCCAGGACGATCTCGATCTCCTGACCTCGTGATCCACCTGCCTCGGCCTCCCAAAGTGCTGGGATTACAGGCTTGAGCCACCGCGCCCGGCCTTTTTTTTTTTTCTTTTTTTTTTTTTTTTTTTTTTGAGACGGAGTCTCGCTCTGTGCCCCAGGCTGGAGTGCAGTGGGGCAATCTCGGCTCACTGCAAGCTCCGCCTCCCGGGTTCACGCCATTCTCTGGCCTCAGCCTCCCGAGTAGCTGGGACTACAGGCGCCCGCCACTGCACCGGGCTAATTTTTTCTATTTTTAGAGACGGGTTTCACCATGGTCTCGATCTCCTGACCTTGTATCCGCCCGCCCGGCCTCCAATGCTGGATTACAGGCGTGAGCCACCCGGCCAAGCACTAACTTTTTTTTTTTTTTTTTTTTTGAGGCGGAGTCTCGCTCTGTCCCCAGCTGGAGTGCTGGGCGCATCTTGGCTCACTGCAAGCTCCGCCTCCCGGGTTCCCGCCATTCTCTGCCTCAGCCTCCCGAGTAGCTGGGACTACAGGCCCCGCCACCACGCCCGGCTAATTTTTTGTATTTTTAGTGGAGACGGGGTTTCATTTGTTACCATGGTCTCGATCTCCTGACCTCGTGATCCGCCCGTCTCGGCCTCCCAAAGTGCTGGGATTACAGGCTTGAGCCACCGCGCCCGGCCTGAAAAAAAAAAAGCACTAACTCTTAACTCAGCTTCGAAAAAAACTTCTCAACACACTTTCATTTCCATTTGTAAGTGTGAACATTCTAAAATCAAAATCTGAGCCAGGCATGGTGGCTCACATCTGTAATCCCAACACTTTGGGAGGCCAAAGCAGGCAGACTGCTTGAGGCTAGCAGTTCCAGACCAACCTGGCCAACATGGCAAAACCCCTTCTCTACTAAAAATACAAAAACTATCCAGAGTGGTGGTGTGTGCCTGTAATTCCAGCTACTCGGGAGGCTGAGGCAAGAGAATCGCTGGAAGCCGGGAGGCGGAGGTTGCAGTGAGCTGAGATCGCACCACTGGGAGCCTGGGCGACAGAGTGAGACTCTATCTCAAAAAAAAAAAAAAAAAAAAAAAAAAATTTGATAACAGAAATAAAAAGTTCAGTAAAGGGTTGGAAAAAAATGTTGAGGAAATACCAGAATAAGAAAAATAGGGAGAAGCCAAGCGTGGTGGCTCATGCCTGTAATTCCACCACTCTGGGAGGCTGAAGTGGGTGGATCACTTGACGTCAGGAATTCGAGACCAGCTTGACCAACATAGTGAAACCCCATCTCTACTAAAAATGCAAAAAATAGGTCGGGCGCAGTGGCAGGCGCCTGTAATCCCAGCTACTTAGGAGGCTGAGGCCAGAGAATCGTTTAAACCTGGGAGGCGGAGATTGCAGTGAGCCGAGATTGCGCCATTGCACTCCAGCCTGGGCGACAAGAGCAGAACTCCATCTCAAAATAATAATAATAATAATAATAGGCATGGTGGCGGCGCCTGTAATCCCAGCTACTTGGGAGGCTGAGGCACTAGAATCACTTGAACCCAGGAGGCGGAGGTTGCAGTGAGCCAAGATCATGCCACTGCACTCCAGTCTGGGTGATAGAAAGAGACTCAGTCTCAAAAAAGAAAAAAAGAAAAATAGGAGAAATGACAGAAATCAGTACAGGAGAATGGCAACAACAGGACCTCTGGCACACTACTGGTAGAAGTATAAACTGATGTAAATACTTTAGAAAACTTTTCAGCAGTGTCTAATAAAGGTAATGATATGCCTACCCCATGACTCAGCAATTCCACTCCTCGGCATATGTATCAGGAAAACAAAAGCAAACTCGTACAAGAATCATTATTCATAATAGTCCCAAACTGGAAAGACACCAAATGTCCACCCACAGGAGAAAAGGTAATCAGACTGTGCCATATTCATACCACAGCATTCTACTCAGTAATCCAAAAGAAATACTGACTGTGATAGTTAATTTTATGTGTCAGTTTGCCCGGGCTAAGACATACCCGAGAGGTGGTCAACATTATTTCTGACTATGAGGGTGTTTCTGGAAGACTTTAGCATTTGAATCAGTAGACTGAGTACAGAAGATCTGCCCTCGCCAACCTGGGCAGTATCTGGAGCATCATCTAACCTGTTGAGTCGGAAAAGAACAAAAAGTGGAGGAAGGGCGAATTCTGTCTCTTCTTGAGTTGGAGACATCCATCTTCCACCATCAGATGTCAGAGCTCCTGGTTTTCAGGCCTTTCGACTCCAGGACGTACGCCATTGGTGTCCCTGGTTCTCAGGGCTTAGGAGTGGGACTGTTATGCCACTGGCTTCCTCGGGTCTCCATCTTGCAGACAGTAGATCATGGGACCTCTCAGCCTCCATAACCACTTAAGCCACTCCTCCTGATCAATCTCTTGCATCTATCATATTGGCTCTGTT